GGACATGGACAACAAAGCTGGGGACAGGGCGGGGAGGGAGAGGAAGGGGGGAATCAGTGTGGGGGGGAAACATCTGTAACAAAAATAAATATATTAATTTAAAAAAAAAAAGATGGCCACGTCCCAATCCCTGGAACCTGTGACTATGGTCTTTTCCAGGACAAAAGGAATTTGCCTCTGTGATTAAGAATCTCGAGATGAGGAGACACCTGGCTTATCTGAGTGACCCCACTGTAATCCTAAGGATCCTCATAAGTAAAAGATGATGTCGGAGGACCAGAGTCAAAGCGAAATTTGAAAATGCTAAGCTGCAGGCTTTGAAGACGGAGAACGGGGCCACAAGCCTAGGAATGCAGGTGGCCTCTAGAAACCGGAGCAGGCAAGGGAACAGATTCCCCCGCAGGGCCTCCGGAGGGGACGCAGCCCGGCCAACACCCGATGTTAGCCCAGTGAGACTTGTTTGAGCTCTGAGCACCGCAACTGTGAAATAATAAATGCGTTTATTGTTTGAAGCTACCAAGTTTGCGGTAACTTACGACAGCCGTAGGAAATAAACAAATCCCAGGGTCTGGCTCTCACCCTACATCAGGTTTCATCAGTACCACAAAACAGTCTCTCTCTCCTTTACCCAAACACGCTGACTGACGATCCACCAGGCTACTTTGCTTATTTGCAAGGGGAAATCTACCTGTAAGACAGAGTCCTCATCTTGTCATAACCTGTGGACCAGCATGGGAAGCCCATCGTACTTGGAAGGATGCTGAGGAGCATGGCATGGAGCAAGCAAAGGCAGATGAGTCACCCTGCTCCGGGCTCCAGCTCAGAGCCCACCGCGTTCATGCCCACAGTAGACACATCCTTGCCAAGGAAACCCTCACACCTGAGTCTCGTGGTCAGTGCTCTGTTTCTTTGGCAATATCAGGAAGGCACCGGCAGCATCACCTTCTAAGAAACTCCTTTCCCTGCCCTGGCTGGTTTGGCTCAGTGGTTAGAGCGTCGGCCTGTGGTCCAGAGAAACCCAGGTTCAGTTCCCGCTAAGGGCATGTACTTCAGTTGCAGTTTGTCCCCGGCCCTGGTTGGTCGTGCAGGTGGCAGCCACTCGATGTGTCCCTTTCACATCGATGTTTCTCTCTCTCTCCCTCCTACTCTATCTGAACAAAATATCAAAAAATGTCCTCAGGTGTGGATAAAAAAAAAAAAAAAGAAAAAAAAAAGAAACTCCTTTCTCTATGCCTGCTTGGCTGACCAATCCCTCTTAAGAGCGTTAGATGTGCTCTTTCTTTAGACTTGTGGCTATTAAAAAGTAATACATTTAAAGCACTTAGGACACAGGCCCAGCCCAAAGTAGGTACTCACCAAACGCCAGTTATTATCACTATTATCGTTATCATTAATATATTTAATCCAGCGATGTTCATATACAGCCAAGCCTGGGGGCCCTTTTCTCTCTTCAAGGTGACCTACGTTCCTGCTCTGCTCTCTATGTCCTGGTGCTAAGTTTCCAGGTTCTCATGGAAGCCACCTTGTACCGATGGACAATGGTGACCACGCCGAGGCCAGCTGGGATGCCCGTTGGATGATTCGTAGGATATGTTTCAATAAATCGGCAAAGGTAAGTGAGGTTGTGAGTTCTGAACCAGGCATGGAAGGAGAAACTCATCAAGCGTTGAAATTCTCTCTTCCTGCCCTGGCCGGTTTGGCTCAGCGGTTAGAGCGTCAGCCTGTGGTCCAGAGAGACCCGGGTTCAATTCCCACTAAGGGCACGTACCTCGGTTGCAATTTGTCCCCAGCCCTGGGTGGGTCGTGTGGGTGGCAGCCACTCAATGTGTCCCTTTCACGTTGATGTTTCTCTCTCTTCCTCCTGCTCTGTCTGAACAAAAAAAAAAAGGAAAAATGTCTGCGGGTGAGGATAAAAATTAATTAATTAATTAATTAATTAATTGAATTCTCACTCCTCCACTCGCAGTTGTGGGCTGAATTGCAACCTCTCAGAATTCATATGGAGACAGAGCCTTTACACAGGCGATTGGGTTAAATGAGACCCACAGGGCAGCCCCCACGCAATCTGATGTCCTTATAAGAAGGGTTGAGGACACACGGAGAGACACCAGGCACGGAGCACACAGAGGGATGACCATGTGAAGACATGGCAACAGGGCTCCATCTACAAGCCCAGGAGCGAGACCCCAGAGGAAACCAACTTGCTGGCACCCTGACCTTGGGCTTCCAGCCTCCAGGAGTAGGAGGGCAAACTCTGTTGTTGAAGCCAGCCCGAGTCTGTGCTGTTTCATTTGGTCAGCCCGAGAAAACCAGTGCATTCTCCTTTCCAGAACAGATATTTTTTGCATCTCGACATCAGAAAGCTGTGTCACACGACTTCAAAGGAGTCCCTGACCCCTCTGCGCGCCTGAAAGGGTCTGATTCTTGAGGTAAGAACGCACGTGTTCCCACCACGACTTGGCGGTCGTGCCTGGCACTCAGGTGAGGGTTTCTCACTTCCTGAGGAAGGAGGTGTCTTAGTTTCACTGTCCCCCCAAGAGTCCTGCGTGGACAGTCACGCATCAGAGCCTTGCAGAGGAAACACCATTGGCGGATATGAAAAACTGCAAAATCACAAATGACAGATTCGTGACTTCCCCGAGGGAAGAAATAGCAAGAGCAGATGGGCCCTGAAGCTGGGAGGTTTCACTTAAATCTTAATAAACAACATTTTGATAAGCTAATGAATGTGGTAGGAAAAGAATAGAAATCCAGTGCCAGAAACCCAAACACAGTTTGCCCGCCCTGGTGGGAACCCAGGATAATTTTCCCATAAGGACGGACACAAGGTTCCACGGACAAACTACTTCCTGAAGATGTACAGCCTCCTCTCTGAACTGGCAAAGCTGAACACCTTGCGATGGGGTGGCATTCAGGGCAACACAATGTACCCCATTTTCCCTATGCACTTCTGGGTACCTCTCTGGGCAACAGTGCTCTACATGGGCCCAGGTGGTTTCCAGGTAAAGGGGTAACTTTTCGATTTGCAGGGGACACAAAGTGAGTATGGTCAGAGGTCAGGGATGTCTCCCCTGGAGACTGCTTATCCAACCAGTCCAGCCTTGCTCATCTCGGGGGACCTTCGAGAGAGAGGAAAGAGCACTGGATGATGAGTCCAAAGGCCTGGATCACAACTACACACCATATATGAGTGACTTGGCTCTCTACGAGGTGGGAATAATTCTTCCTACCTTGCAGGGATTTGTTGGAGAGAGCAAGCGAGGTCTCCTCCTTCAAAGATGGTAGACAAATAGACGGCATTGGACAAACGCAAATTGCTTGCAACTGGATCCCCCCAAGAGCAGTGTACACAGGGGGCCCATGAGCATATACTGCATGGACCTTGACTTTCTAGGCTATTCCTGGTAAACAAGTGCAGGTTTTGTGGCCCTCCCACACTGTCTCTTCCTCGGGCTCTTATTTCAATAGATCTGTTGGACAGTGAAGGACCAAGAACGGATGAAAGGTTGCAGAAGATGACCTCAGATGCAGAGCATCTTAACTGGGACAGCCAGTTTTGTACAGATGACTCAGAGAGACGAAACATGCAAAAGCAGAAAAGGATGGAGACGCAGAAAGGATGGAGAGAGAGCCAGAACTGGGGGCGCAGGCTCTTCAGTGAATGTGCTGGCACAGCAGGAAGGCGCTGGGGCCCAAATGGCTCACAAGGCATAGGATGGAGCAGAGGCAGCCCGGCAAGAGAGAGCTGAGTGGTTCAAGATGATTCTGATGGGGAACTCAGTCCCAGGCACCCCTGCCTCCCCGGTCGAATTCCCAGGGGGGTGTCTGGGGACCCTACCTGTGAGCATCACAACTTAAGTCTTGACAGAGGGAGAAAGAACATCTTTGATACACACCTACTCTGATTCAGGTTCCATGTCCGTCTTACCTACATCCACAGCACCCCTGCCTAATGGGAAATATAACAGTGAAATCGGTTTCTAGAACCTGACCTAGTGGGAGTTCGCCCAATGGGGACTGTATAGCAGATACTGGGAAAACAGTCTTTGTAGTCAGACTCCTGGAGTCAATGGACAAGTGTTACTTTTAAAAAATAATATTAGCCCGGCTGGTGTGGCTCAGTGGTTGAGCGTCGACCCATGCACCAAGAGGTCACCAGTTCGATTCCTGGTCGGGGCACATGCCCAGGTTGTGGGTCGGATCCCCAGTGGGGGGCAAGCAAGAGGCGGCCAATCGATGTTCTCTCTCATTGATGTTTCTATCTCTCTCTCCCTTTTCCTTTCTCTAAAATCAATAAAAGAAAAACTATTTAAAAGTAAAATAAAATAAAAATAGGATTAATATAAACAGATGCTTTCTTGAGGTGGGTGCAGAAGGAAGGGGAGTAGCATAGAGGAACTGACCCCCAATTGGAATGAGGGCCCACGTGGTTTGAGAGAGCTGATGTCCCACTCTCTTTGGCTTCTATTTTGAAGCCAACACCTCTCTTTTCCTCTCCAGTTAGTGGGTGCCCTGTTTGGTCTGCCCAGATGCTGAGTCCATCTTTCAGCGAGCAAAGAAAAAATACAAAATGCTCAAATGATGAGAGAATATAATAGGCATGAAAGACAGGAGTAGAAAGAGATTCTACTCAAGAATTGTGAGCAGCTCTAGAAGACAAGTAAAAACTGTAGAAACAGAAATCATAATTAAAGGTTTACTCTGTCACTGTGTTTCAACCCTTGGCTGCACATTATGAGCACTGGCAGTTTCTTTAAAAATTTAATTTCCCAACCCCATCTCCAAGGTTTTGGTTTGAAATATTCACTAATTGCACCAAGGAATTGGGGAAATTCCAAATTCCCTTGCAAATGCAAGGCTTAGAGTGAGCTGCAATTTGTGTATTATATTAGTTTATAACAAGCAGAGCCAGGAGGAAAATGTGTCACTTGTTAAATTCAGGTAGATCACCAAGTGGTCCAGATTTCAGCATGAGAACAAACGAATGGCTTTGTACTCACAGCTCAAATGACAGAGTACCTTAGACACAGCTTAGCTTCCGTCTCCATCCACTTGGACCACGTAATCCCTCCCTGGAAGCGAAGGGATTGTCAAATTAGGAAAAAACGTATCTTTTAAAAGATAGCTCTTGCTACTGGGAAGAGCTTGTTCCCCCAGGAAACGCCAACCCTTTGCTCCTTGCAACACTATGTCCTGTGGCAACATTTTATTTATGTATTTGGGATCCCGCCTCTGTCTAAAAAGTGGAGCGACTTGGCCGAGCATCCTGCAGGGGAGTCCATCTGCTGCCAGCCAGATAGAAGCTGGGGATTAAGAGTAAAAACTGGAGCCCCAAAGCGGATCAGCCAGCATGCCCACACCCCCAGGCCCGGCCTCCTGCAGAGAGCTCATCACCCGGTGCCTACAAATTGTGAGGTCATCAAATAGAGCTGAAGCTATAAGAGGAGCCAGAAGTGGAGGAAAGAAGTAGACGAATTTTGTTCATTCAATCTGGAATGTGAGTGAGGTGTAACAACGATGATGATGATGATGATGATGATGATGATGATGATGATGATGTCTCTTCTTGGAATTGCTCTGGTTTACACTGGCCCCTCTGAAGCTGGTGGCTTCTGTGTATGCAGTTTTCTTGGAGACATGTTCAGCTTTGGTCCCCTGCAGTGTTGAGGAGCCTCGGAGAAGGACCCCGGGGTCCCACCAGTTTTCCGTGCATCCAGCTACTTCTTCAGGTAGATGCTCCTCTGTCATGATTCAGCTGCTGGGGCGCCTGTTCCTTCTCTATGCTTTATGTTTCCTTCTATGGAGATTTCTGCACTTTCCTAAACCCTCGATGAATAAAAACAAACAAAAAAACATTCTTCTCTTCCTTTGGCACCGTACAGCCATCAGTCTTTCCCTGATGGCATGGGGTACTCCAGTAAGCCTCCTGCCTGCCAAAACTTCCAGACCAGAGTAGGCACCAGGCTCTGTGTCTTCATATGCCCCAAACTCCAGGGTACGTGTAAAGCCCTCCAACCAGCTCCCTTCCATACCCTACTCCACTCCGTGAGTATCGCAGGGTAGGAGAATGTCTGCTGGCTGACAGGTCAGCACTCCGCTAGGTGCAAGATGTCACCGCCCCCTCCTTTCCAACATCCCCAATCTACACGAGGGTGCCTCTTGGACCCCTTCACTTGACTTCGCGGGAAGCAAAAGGTCTTTCAGCTCAAGCAAGTACTTCCTATAGGCCAAGATTTCCGAGATTCAGGTTCCCTTTCCATCTGTATACTTACATGTACCTTAGAGTTGAGGGTTCTAGTGCCAGTGCTGTTACTTCTTAGCAACTCAAGAGGGACCCTTGTTATTTGAGGACCACTTTAAATAGCAGAGTGCCCAAGCTTCCTTGTGTTCAGATCTATACTCTGAATTCATACAGTAGAAAAGTCCAATCCTATTACATAGTTAACTTGCTTTGGTAGAGCAAATGATCATTTCCTAGTCTTCTCCCCCGTATAATGTGATTATAATTTACATCGTCGGCCAGGTAACATTGCAATGTTTTCCATTGTGAGGAGTACACTTCTCACCTCATTGATGCTGGGTTGGGCCATGTGATTGACTTTGGGCAATGAATGTTCGCAAACATGATGTATACAGAGGCTTAAGATGGGCTAGCACAGTTTGGCATCCTTCATGGATGACCTCCTACTATTTACCATGAGAAGAACATGCCCCTAGTAGCTGGATAAGAGACACATGGAGCAGACCTGAACCTGACCTGCAACATGAAGGAGAATCTCTCCAGTTGACAGCAAAACTCATGAGTGAGGTAAGTGATGTCTGTTTTGGGAGCCGCTGAGATCTTTGGGGCTGCCTGTTACGCAGCATTACCATCATTCGGTCATAGCTAGCTAAGACACTTGTATGTCCAGCATTTTGCTGAGCACCATATTATATCTCAATTTATAGAGAATTTTTAAAAGAAATCTGTTGTCAGTTTTTTTTTTTTTAATATGTTTTTATTGAATTTTTTAGAGGGAGAGATAGAAACATTGATGTGAGAGAAACAGTGACTGGCAGCCTCCTGCACGCCCCCTACTGGGGATCGAGCCCACAACCCTGGGCACGTGCCCTGACCAGGAATCGAACCAGGACCTCTCAGTCCATGGGATGATGCTCAATCCACTGAGCCACACCGGCCGGGCTAGAGCAGTATTAATATCACCTTTGTTTTACAGATAAAGCAAATGAGGCACAGAGCATTTAAGCACAATTAGTAAGGGAAGGAGATAAGTTCACACTCTGATACTCTGGCCCCAGAGCCTACACTCTAACCACTATGGAACATAAAACAGAAGAAGAGAGAGGTGTAGCTCTGTGACCTTCTAAGTCTGTGGTCTGGTGCTGACCTTGAACTCAAAGCCGTAATGGCACTTACGAGCCCCCTGTCGGCACAGGCCTGACCGGATCCCAAGGGCTGAGGCTATTTTTCCAGCTGTCGGTACGTGCAGGATGAGACAGGCTCCCCCTCCAGAATGCATGGCCCTTCTCTGAACTCTGAGCACGGGAAGTCCCGCGGGAAATGCTCCCCAAGGAACAAGCCGGCTTTTGTGAAGTGTAGTCATCAACATTCTGCAAAGCTTTGCACCGCGCATGTCATTCTCTGCCTATTTTTATTCTCTCTAAGCGACTATCTCTGAGCTTTTCTTTTGAATATTATATTATTTCACGCTTGCCAGCTGCTTGGATTATACAAATAACCTGGTAATAGCAAAGCAATATGTTGTCCGGTGTTCGGACACCATCACAGCAAACAGAGAAGCCAAGGGAGCCAGGTCTCATTCACAGCCTGAAAATGAAGGCCACCCACGCACTCCCAGTTCCAGAGAACAGAGGGGCAGGCAGTCTAGTCCCAAGATGGATTTTTGCTCTGCAGCTTCCAAGATGTTCTGTGCTCGGGGAGAAGCCAAAGCAGTGTTCTTTGGCAGAATAACTCGGCAGTGTGACTCAACGACACACTTTTCTCTTTAATTGAAGTCGGTAGCCCTGATGGGCGGTAGTGGGGCTTACAGATCTTCAAGTGAGACACAAGCTAGAAATTCTGAGGGCAAGGATCATGTCTTCTTTACTTACCACTAACTCCGATGCCTAGCAGAGTGGGGAGTCGATAACTATCTGCCGAATAAATCAATGTAAAAAGGATTTTGCATATATTAATTTTTATATGCATGGTTAGGGCAAGCAAGGACCCTCTTAGGGGGAAAAAAAAAAGATGGAGATACAGCCAAGCTTTAAAAGTCTTTGACATGCCCGGCCGGTGTGGCTCAGTGGTTGAGCATCGACCCATGCACCAAAAGGTCACTGGTTCGATTCCCGGTCAGGGTACATGCCCAGGTTGTGAGCCCGATCCCCAGTGGGGGGCGTGCAGGGGGCAGCCAATCGATGTTCTCTCTCATCACTATTTCTATCACTCTCCCTCTCTCTTTCTCTCTCTCACAAATCAATAAAGAAAAAGTAATAATAGCCCTGGCCGGTTTGGCTCAGCGGTTAGAGTGTCAGCCTGTGGTCCAGAGATACCTGGGTTCGGTTCCCGCTAAGGACATGTACCTCAGTTGCAGTTTGTCCCCGGCCCTGGTTGGGTCATGTGGGTGGCAGCCACTCGATGTGTCCCTTTCACATCAATGTTTCTCTCTCTCTCTCTCCCTCCCACTCTATCTGAACAAAATATGGAAAAGTGTCCTCGGGTGAGGAGAAAAAAGAAAAAAGAAAAATAAATAATAATAATAAAAGTCTTTGCCATTCACCAACAAAGCTAACACTCTATAATCTTTGTTTCAGCAAGGGGAGCCAGCTAGCTCAGTGTGTGTGGTGGACACTCTGGGCTGTGCCCACGCAGCAACCCTATCCCTTTCTTTTGCTAACAAGCCCCCCATTTTCTTTTGAGGGGCTGCCCTTCCCTCACTCCCCCTGGAGCTCAGAGTTGGGGTGGCCTCAGGCGTGAGTATGTGACGCCCACCGGGCCAGGTAGATGTCTCCCCTTGCAGAATGTGAATCTCGAGCTGAGCCCACAAATCCAGAAAGCAGTTGGCGGACTCAGCCCCTTTCGGGGTGTTTCTAAACAGCCCATCTGTTAGCAAGGGAGCAGGCTGGACTGTGCACAGGCGGGGACACTCCTGCAGGACACGCAGAGCTGACGTCTGTCCTGGACCACTCCCACAGTCACTGTCTTGCTCTTTCAACGACAACCTTTCCTTGGATCATTCACTGGAGGCCGGCATATAGCAGAGGGGGGACTCCAAGCTGCACACAGGGGTCCTGGTCACAAATCCGCCACAGAAAAGAAGTGACCTCCCCTCCACAGTATGAGGGGCTGGGATTAAGTATGACAAAGGAGCCTCGTGTGTTGGATCAGTAGAAATTAAGTCCTGGGCCTTGGCCACACAACGCTCACGTTGTCAGGGCCAGCGTGGCTTGGAGTTTAAAGCAGTTAATCCCCTGGCTGGGTGACTCGGACAAAGAGGATTAACCCTCAGACAAGAGTCTTCGTCCAAATATAGAGCAATCCCAAGGACATTAGCAACCTCAAGCACCCCGCCTTCCCTTGAAAATCCTTGCTCTGTAGCCTTTTTGGTGAGCTGATCAATGAATGTTCCAGCACCCCAAGGTCCAGGTGCTAGACCCTCTCCACACTTCTGCACCTTTCTCCATTCTGCATCCCAGGGTTCTAGCATTTCTCCTTTGGAATGTGCAGTTTTCTTTAAGGAAACCATGGAGCACCTGCTGTGTGCCAGGGACTGTGTGAGACCCCAGAGCCAGAGAGGCAGACGAGACCCCAGGGCCAGCGAGGCCGACGAGACCCCAGGGCCAGCGAGGCCGACGAGACCCCAGGGCTAGAGAGGCAGACAAGACCCAGAGCCAGAGAGGCCGACAAGACCCCAGGGCTAGAGAGGCAGAGAAGACCCCAGAGCCAGAGAGGCAGACGAGACCCAGAGCCAGAGAGGCAGAGAAGACCCCAGGGCCAGAGAGGCCGACGAGACCCCAGAGCCAGAGAGGCAGAGAAGACCCAGAGCCAGAGAGGCAGACGAGACCCCAG